CTGCCGCTACGGTATGTCTAGTCCCGCTTCTCTTTATTTTTTCGTAAATGTTTACTCCCCGACTTCTCGTGGATAATGTAGTAGTAATCTCTAGCAAGGACTGCGCACAGAACACCCTGAAAAGTGGGAGGGGTGGGGGGCTAGGATTTGAAAACATAAGAGATTAGTCAGAACAAAGGGGGGTTAAGAATCGAATATATAAGAGAATAGTACGGAAAAAAGGAAAAWGTCTCCGCGGTGGCTGTGTAGTTTGTCAATTTGCTTACAAATCGGTCAAATTTCTTTCGTTATGCATTTATTTTTTCCGTAGCTTTTGGTGGTTATGCAAGTTTTTGTCGTTTGTCTTTTTATAAGCTAGCGATTTGTTAGACTTTTGCAAAGTGTTTTTTAACTTATTCTCCTACCTATCGGCGTAGGTACTAAATTTATTATAGGTTTTTCTATTTCGGCAATCTTTTTATTTTGGCGGTTTATTTTCGACAAATATTTTGCCTGTCGCTGGGGATGTCTATTTCAATACCCAAACTATCACAGCGCATTTGCAGGAGCCGAGACACTGTTCTATGAAAATTAAAGCAAAAGTTTTTTGTGAGTCAACTACTATAACTAGGAAAGCACAGTTAACAGTTTTTCTACAGCACATCTGAATCGCGCGCACTTTYATTTTTTTAAATTTTCGATTTTTCTCGATTTTCTTGCGTTGAAGACTTTGATTTTAATAAAATATACATTAGTACAAACTTCAAACCAAGAGCAACGACTGGTATAAATTCTAAAATGATCCAGTAAACAGAACATTGTCAACGCGACGATTGAAAAAGTTATGTTTGATGATCACGAAACTGTATCGAAACACCTTAAACATAACTAAACAAACTCCATGTGCTATTGTATTTGAACAGGACGAAATGAGTATGTGGGAACGACTACGAGCCATGTTGGATCAAAAATGTTCAATACGTTTAATGTACGTAGTAATCCTCATTTTTGTTGGCCGATTGGTCTGCTTGATCATGTACGCCTTGTGGTTAGGTGACTGCTTCCTCAGAGAGTTTAAAATGGAAGCCCCATGCAAAGATTTCACTCTTTACCCTGAACCAAAAATAACTTCTGCAGTTTGGCTGATGATCGTCAGCTTTACATCCTTCCTTCTGATCTTCTACGTCAGCCGATTATCTGATTTTCGAGGCTTCAAATCAATCATCAGTAAACTTCTTCGTAAGAAGTACTTCTACAAGCTGTGTGTCATTACCATACTGGTAGTTATCTACGACTCGATAACTATTGGTGCAAGAGAATTTGAAGTGAAAACAACACTTTTATACGTTGCGTATATAATCGAACATATCACGACTGTTGCACTCATGTTCAGATTAAACTTCGTCAAGAATGTACCACAAAATAAACTGCAATATCATGCTTATAAAATAACCTTGCTACTCTACTCGATCGAGAATTATGTCCTATACGCCTTTGGAACTGTTGTAGCTGCGTACAAACTGGTTTCAGTTCCTACAACTTGTAGTCCCACACCTGAAAATCAAATCAACACCGACTGTTACGATGCCCTAGCTGTTACCATGTTGTTTCTTCTTTTGAGTGTCCTCGCTCTCCGTCTCACAGTTGGAGAATTCTTTCTGACCAAGTTCTTCGAAGAATTCGAAGATGTTCCCCCGTCGCAAGCTCCACCGAATTTACCTAATTCGCCAGTGACTCAACGCAAAGAAGAAGAAAAAGAGAAAAGAACAGGGACAGAGGAGACAATCTTGGAAAAGGATAATCAGTCATGAGAAATAGAAATGAAAGCCCAACCAAAAGCCATGTATAATAACCAAGCAACTAAGCAACCCGAAGCATGGAAACAAGCAAGAAAGGATAAAAGGAGAGATTGAAAAATCGGAAGATGAGATTTCATGTGCATAGATTTTATCTAAAATACTTTAGGTTTGTACCTTTCATGTATACATAGGTGAACAGTGATAAGGTGAACTCAGAGGTGGATTCAGGTAGTATAAAAACGCAGAAAGTATAAGATATAGAATTATTTATAGTAACTCATTCCAGTTTCCTCTCTCATTGATTATTGATGTTCTATTCAACATCAAGTAACTGTCTTATTTATAGTATATACTGAATAGTATTTATAGTATAGTATAATTATTTATATTTTTACTACCTTTCAATCTACTTTAAATTCTTAGCTTATTGGTATTCATACTTGGTTATGTGCTAATAAGCTCTCATTTTTGAAATATAAAAACATCAAAATTTGTTATCGGTTTTCCATCCTTCACAGCGTAAACTGTATAACATATTAATTACTGATCTTATCAAAATCCATTGTTATTAATATTATTTTTTATTAATTAATTTAATATTAATAATTATTAAAAATTAATATACACGAGTAATGTTTTGAAAGTTCTTGTAATTGCACGAGCCTTTAGACGAGTGCAATTAAAGAACTATCGAAACATTGCGAGTGTCTATTGATTCCAAATTGCACGAGACGATCGTGCGATTTTTTGTTTATAGTTCACTAACATTTTTTGTTTATAGTTCAAAATTTCAGTAAAAAATGCGAAGCGACGCCATTCATCTTTGTCTATTTGGCGGCCGATTTTCATTCCATCGCGCAACTGAAATGCATAAAATAGATTAGTTCTTACGGCTTTTTAAAAATTAAAAAATTTTTATTTATGTTTTTTAAGTACAAAATAATTGTTTTGACATTGTTTTGGCCGTGTTGTCATAGCGACTTAATTCGGTTTGCTACGGAGTACAATTAACGCTATAATTGTACTCCTCTCGACCAATCAGAGTMGAGTAATTTTGTTGAGTGTACTATAATCTATTAAATACTATCACTGGAGCAAATTAGTGCAAACAACAATAGCAGCGCATCTTGCTGTCTTTGTTTCTTTGTTTTGCTCATGCCTCAGTGAATTCTTAGTTTATAACTAAATAGTTAATAGAGTACAAACACTATAAGTGTGTAACATAAATACCACTAAATACTGCTAAATAATGCTAATCCTATTGTTTTCTATTGTTTATTTGGCACTATTTACTACTAAATAGTGCAAATTGTTGCACACTTTTAGTGTTTGTACTCTAATAAAATATTTATATGCGCTAAATAGTTAGTAGTAGTTTCACGGATTTACGTTGTGCACTCAAAACGAAAAGCCTTTACCTGGTGAAAATCAACAGTAAGCACCTTGACATTTGTATTGATTCATTGAATTTGTTGTCAAAAAGATTAAAAAAAAGTTTAAGGATTCTCCCCAAACTTCGCTATTATGTAAATACTATTATTTCTTAATAATTTATATTATTCCTTGATCTATCCATTCTTAATTTATGGAGTGGTCTGATTGCATGAGGTAACACTTACTAATCTACTCTTCAACCTTTATTTGTCTTGCAAAAACATCGTACTTTTAATAACATTTTCAAAGTTTGATGACTGAGCATTCAAGTCCTTTATTTGTATATATCCTTAAGTTCCATATGGGGCTCTATATGGAGCTCTATATGAAACCTTAAGGTGAATTTGATTAACCATATTAACTCTGGACGGTTGAATATTACTGACGTAAGGAGCATCGCGCGGTCACGTTGTTGCTGGTATAGTACAAACAAAGTCAAGTACGGAACGCCGTTAAAGAAGTAACGCTCATAGGCTATTCAAACCGTTTGACCTTTAGAATGAAAACGTCTGCATTACAACAGCGAACGAAGGAACACGGACACAAGATAAGTAAACAAGTATAACGTTAATTTAATTCCAATAATCGAAAGGAAAAAAAAACGATAGAAATCCAACCACATTCGGTGTCCTAGTGCCCTTGTATATATGAATATTATGGGGCTATTTGATCTTTTTATTTATGCCACTGCTTTTTCCATGTATAAATTTAATGACGATAAGCTGCTACTATCTTTATTTAATTGTTTTTTTTTTTTACTAATGTTAATAGCATTCACAAATACAACACTAGAGCTGCTTCTAAGCTGTCTCTCACTATCTCCCTAAAGGCCCAAAAGTGTGGAATTCCCTAAAAAATTAAAAAAATTAAAAATTAATTTAACTTTAAGAAAGTTAAAAGAATTA